TCCAGTGAAATATATTTATGTTTGTGGTTGTAATGTGACAAAATATGGAAAAGTTCAAGGGGTATGAATACTTTTGCAAACCACTGTATATTGAACTAGATTATGAGGAATATTTTTGTGGATATTTCATCATTTACTCTTGTTTCTGCTTGTGTGGTTTGGCTGTGATGATGCTCTTAAATGACCAGTTCACCGTACAGTGTATGGTGGTTGTTGTTTTTTTTTTTTTGAAAAAAAAAATGGAAATTACAACTATTTGCCTTCTTTTCTTGAACATTTTTTCTTCTTACAGGCGGTTGTGTCCTCATTCTCAGTAGAAATTTTGTACAGTACGCCTGCTTTGGGTTATTTGGCATCATAGCTCTACAGGTAAGAACAGTTTTATCACAGAAACTTATTTAAATACATTCAACCTATTATTATGACTAACTTCATATCTGTCTCCCACCAGACTGTCGCATACAGCATTTTATGGGACCTTAAGTTTTTGATGAGGTAAGCGCTGCTCAGCTGTTTGAAAGTACATTCAACTGAAAGCAGTGTTCGATTTGTACTAAACTGTTTTAACACTCCTTTTAAATCACTTCCTAATGCTTTCTTTAAGATAAGGAAACTTCAGACAGCGTGTTGAAGGCAGAATGCATCTCTCATTTTTAGTCACCAGCACTTATAATCACGTAATTACTGTAGAGTCTGCTTGTTTTTTATTTAAACAACAGAAAGCAGAATGAATCATGCATCTAATATGCTGAGTTTGAGGATTTCTGTTTGTGCATGCTGTGGACTTGACATCCTGTTTGCAGACGGGATCAAGTCAGAGTGTGAAGTAGTAGATCACACCTAGAATAAACAAGTTTGGTTGACAGAAAATGCTGAGGTGGTCGGGAAAATGTGTTTTATCAAACAACAGATGATTGCAAAAGTACGACGGAGTATCAGGGCCACACAATGAGATTTGTTTTATTTTTTAATTACGAGAATAAAGTCATAATTTTATGACATTAAAGTTGCATAAAAATAAAGTCAAAATATTACGAGTTTAAAGTCGTATTACGACATTAAAGTAGTATAAAAATAAAGTCGTAATACTATGAGAATAAAGTTGTAATATTACGAGAATAAAGTCGTATTACGACATTAAAGTAGTATAAAAATAAAGTGTCCGGTATTTTGACCTGAGACTTGATACACAACAACCCACCAGACATTAAACAAAGACAATCAGAGACCAGTAACAGTTTGAGATACACTTTGCAAAGGGAGAAGTTCAGAGTACTTAACTCAACTATAGTCAAGTCCAGAGAAGTTCTGCTGCTCTGTGGCCGTGATCCACTTTTATTCACACACGTAGAAATTACATCATAACAAGTTGTCGAATCATAAGACAGTTGCTATGTCATGCCATAAGCATAGAAGCCAATCAGAAGCTGGTTGCTGGGGGCATGTAATTAGCTAGACAACAGAAAAACATTCTTACTGTGTTAGTCATACTTGTTTGTGCATTCTTTACTGGAAACTCGGGCGTGTTGTAAAATTTTGTGGTTAGACCGCTTGTCTAAACTCGTCCTTCTGGTTTTGCTTAGCAAGTTGTTTTGTTCTGCTTGCATGCTATGTTCCATTAAACCTAAAACACAAGTCCTGTACTGAAAACTTTATTTGGAACATATTAAAACCTTTTCATATCCCTCCTGTTGTCACAAATAAAGAAGAATAAAAACAGACAACAAAAAGGCATAAAATAATTAACACCTCAAACAACAAAATTACACCTGAGTAGAACACAAAAGATGAGTAAATACGACTCTAAATAATACTAATGAGTCTAAATAAAATGTACAACAGGACCTTAAATAGATCAGGTCCCTAAAGAAATACTTTGGCATTACCGGATAAGAAAGGCAGCTGCAGGTGAGTGTTCAGATTGCTTTAGCCAATGTCATCATATACCTCGGGGTCATGGATAATGCCTATACCAGTGTCTATGCCTACGTCATCATATGGTTCTTCTGTCATAGGG